ATGTGGCTTTGATCGGGGACCCCTAAGCTGTGGGCTGGAAGGGGTTGGGTGGCTCCATGAGGTTCGGGGTATGAGGGTCTTAGGGACCTGCCTGCTGTGCTGTGGGGGCCACATCTCAGGGGCCAGCACTGACATGAGTCAGCAGGCTGTCAGGCTTCCTTGGACCCCAAAAGAGAAGTTTTGGGGGTACCTGATGCTGAGATCGGGCCTTGTGGTCCCACAGCTTGCTACACTCCGAGAATGTTCGGGGGGTAAGTCCTAGCCCCAATGAGAGGACATGGCTCTAGGCGTGGGGGGCAGGGGGTGGCCCCAGTCTCGAATCCAGGCTGGTGGCTTGGAGATGGAGCTAAGAGGTGGGGGGCATGCACCCAGGACTGGAGAGTGGTGGCAGCACTCAGTTGCCTGGAGGGGTCCCCAAGCCCACATTGGGGGATAGCCTTGCATCATTCCTGGGGCTAAGGCTGCCCACCGGATGTCTGATGAGCAGCCTCCCAAGGGGAGAGGGGGCTTCTGCAGGCCTTCCACAGGCATTCCGCAGCCCCCACCAGCCGGCAGCTCTAATTATGGCTCCAGAGCTGAGAGGCCCCGGAGGTCATCCTTTGGGGCCTGCTGGCAGCCTTTTGTGCCCCAGCTTCTGAAGCGGGATATAGATGCCCCCAGCCCCCATCCCTGGGAACGCTGAGAATGGGCCCGCTGAGGGCCAGCACAGAGCTTCAGGCCCAGCACCGGGGCAGGTGGCTCAGGCCCGGCCCTGATCCTCCTCGAGGCCGGCAGAAAACAAAAAGTAACTTTTGAATTGCAGTCAACGTATCATACCGATACATTTCTCTTTGTACCAGTGCCCTGAGATACTTGGTTTGAGGAGCTCCACCACCCAGGAAAGTCGCCATGTGGCCCACGCCCTGTGCACCCTAAAATTATGCAGCTGTCTTAAATGGGAAGTCTTAGGATCAAGGTAGCCCTGATCCTGGGAGGGACGTGGGGACAGGGCCCGGCGCAGCGACCTGACCTCTCCATTTCACTCTCAGGCACCAGGCAGGGGGCAGTGGATTCCCCCAGGCTGTCGCCTGCACCATGCTCGCCAGGAGCACTGTGGCCCAGGCCCCGCCCCACCAGGTGCCCCTGCGGAGGGGAGGCGGGTCCTGGCGGGGCTGGAGCTGACCCGGGCAGGGCAGGACACAAGGGGCAGCTCTTTCTGGCCGCTGCTGTTTGTCTTCTGAGGACTCCGCCGGTGTCTCTGATGCTCTAATCCGTTTTTCCAGCGTCCTGCGCGCAGGGGCTGAGTGCGGGGACACAATGGCCAGGGCAGCACCATGCGCCGGTGGGAGGAAGCCGGCACCCAGCTGGCCTCTGGCCTGGGGTCGCTGACCTGTCGCCCCAGCGTCCCCACCGGCGCAGGGTCCCGGGGTCAGCGGCGGAACGCGGTGGTGGGAATCTCGGCTGCAGTTTAAATCTGAACCCCGCGACCCGCCCCCGACCCGCGGACCGCGGAGGGAGCTGGCCGCCTTCCTGCGCCGCGCGTTTGCGTCCCGCCTGGGCGCTCCGGGGAGGGGCCTCCGACCCCCGTAATGACCGAGCGGGGCAGCCGCGGGCTCGGGGTGGCTGGCTCTCCTCTGTGTCGTCTCCTGTTTGCTGGTGTGTCGCCGCCGTAGCTTTGCTCGTCACTGAATTTTAAGCGTATGCTTAATTGCCAGGTCCTGGGTTCGCTCCGGCACTGTCTGAAAATATTAAATACATCTGCGAGGTGGTGGGCAAGAGAAATGAAAAAGGTGCTTGCTGCACAGAATGTTAAAAAGATCCCACAATGAAGTGATTAACATTCGTATGAATAAAATTAATCACGCATTAACTCGGCAGCACAGT